CTTACCGTAGTTACAAGGGTGAGAGGTGTCGAATCTGTATCCTTCAGCCAAGTGTTAGTCCATTCACGTATTAACGATACACCGTTAACCGTTTGAGAAACCTCTACCTCCGACATTACCACCACAGATTCGAACTTTAGATCTCTGTCAGCCCTTCCTTTAATTACAAGTACAAAAAAGTTAATTTACTACGCATTTTTCCATAATTAGATACTCAGTGCTAGGAAATAAGGCTTGTTAGTGCAAGATTTTCGATAAAAACTTTTACGAAGTTAAAGTTGAGAAACCGTTAGGCCTGGGAATATTTGTAGGCCTACTTTAACACGTTTTAATGATACTCAATGTCTTTAAGGAGGTTTATAATTAGTTTCTTACAGCCAAAACATTAAATTAAGTCATGAAAAAAAAAAAGCATATGTTATGATACTGAACATTTCATAGCCCCATGATCAAGTTATTTAGTTTTCCCAAACTTCCAATATCGTGAACGTACCGCTAGAAAGTACTGTGTCCGTTAGATTGATGGAATTCAAATGGCCATAAAGCACAATTTCCGCTACCACAGTGTGGTTTTTGAAGTTTTTCTTATCTAAAATAAACAATGAAATTAACATTCACACTTTTTATTAACACAGTAATGTAACGATCAAGTTAATAAACATTGTAAAATGTAGTCAGCAAAATTTCCAAACAAGTCAGAATAAAAATTAACCAAACGTCTTTAAACGATTAATTCTAGGTATTGTCTCCGATTCAATCTGACCATGTATGTCTACACCGAATTAAATCCTCACGTTCGGCCATGGTCCGAGTTTAATATAATGTGGTTTGCCGGTAATATTAGAAGGGGGTCCACAAAAACTCAATATTCGCATTTCTAATTTATTAAAACTTTGACCAATGAAGAATTTAATTCAATACGTCGTCCATTCTATATTTTCCATAGATAATAAAATTTAAGCCCCCCCCCCTCTCCTTTAAGTCAGCGCATCATGGGGTCCAATTAAGGTGTTTCTAAAAAAATGGAACAGGGCCATAAATAAACTTATCTAACTTTCAGAAAGTTAAAGGTGGTTTCTACACTAATTAAGCTTCGCCCGCCCCCCCCCCCTTTTTTTTTTTTT